GAACTCACGGACCGCGAGATCGTGACCTGGCTGAAGTCGGACGCTTAACCGACTGCGCCACCCAGGCGCCCCGGAGTAAAACCCTCTTAACCCCCTGCGACCCAGCCCCCGTCTGCACCTTCCTTGTTAGGTTTGCCTCTCCTTCCCTTGTGCCTTCAGGAGAAACGAACGTGTGCAGTTGTCTGCATATACCCTGTTCCATCACTACTGTTTCTGCATCATGCTCCCGTGATTCAGCGACTTCTCCGGAACTTCCTCTTACAAACCCTGCCTCGGTGTTTCTGCCTCTAAGAAACTTTTCTCGACACCTTTATTAACAGTTACCTACTCCTTTCTGCTAGTCCTGCTCCTCGTATACAACTTTCTGATTGCCTGTGTCACTATTTGTTTACGTGCCTGTCTCCTGTACCAGAGAACCAAATCAGAAGGCAGGAATAGACTTCTCTGCCATCGTAGTTCTGGGATCTAGCCTGGTTTCTGCCATGAGCTAGATACTTAGTAAATGATGTGGCAAAGAAGAATTTAGGGGGAAGGTGCTTTCTTGGCTTTCAGAGGCGTGACTCCAGTCTCTGCCTCCATCGTCACAAGGTGTTCTTCCTTTGGGTCTGTGTCTCTCTCTTTGGAAAGACGCCAATCATATTGGATTTAAGGCCCACCGTAATCCAGTATGACCTCATCGTAACTTGAATATCTGTGAAGACCCCTTTTCCAAATAAAGTCGCAGTCCCAGGCTCCAGGTGGACAAGAAGTTTGGGAGATACTATTCAACCCAGTACGCATACCCTTTAACGGGGAGGTGGGAGTCAGCACCCGCTCACTCAGGGTGCCTCTCTCTCTCATGTCGCACGTCAGGCCTACCCTGGGCCACCAGAGGGCCATCAGAACTTCATGGCCTTAATCATTCCATTCTAGCTTCTTGTACAGAAGGGGACACTTGGAGAACCAGTTTTTGAGAGTCACTCACCAATGATTTAATACTATTAAAAACGACGAAAAGAATTTTCTTTCAAATGAGCACTTTGAGGAGAATCGAAATGCCACGGACACCCAGCAATGAGTGTTTTAAGAGCAGTGTAAGAAAGGGATTAGACATGGTTTTATAGAATGTGGTAACTGTGAGCCCAGATGAGAAGCTCTCTAGGCAACTGGATAAATTCATATTCCTAAAGAATTCATTCAGAGACCAGGGTAGAACGTATTTATAAACTACCCCACCGGCCAGCATTCCCCTGAGATCTGAAGTCATTGAATAAATGGTGATCTGAAATCAGCATGGATTCCCCCTTGACCTTGCAGACAGTCCAGTGACCAAAAGATTGGTCCAGCTGAATCCTCTTAGGGTGTTTTTTTTTTTTTCTCCTGTGGGCATTTTCATCCCTAAATCCCAGATAATGGCTTTTAGCAACTCAGGCTGCTGCTTTCAGAGGCAGAAATCTGGGGGTGCCTGGGTGGCTCATCAGTTAAGTGTCTGACACTTGGTTTTGGCTCAGGTCATCATCTCATGGTTCATGGGTTCAAGCCCCGCATTGAGCCCTGTGCTGACAGTGGGGGCCCTGACTGAATCCTCCCTCTCTCTCTCTCCCCTGCTCTCTCTCTCTCCAAATAAATAACTAAACTTAAAAAAAAGAGACAGAAATCTGTCCCTGACTAGTAAGAAGGCTGTAAAGGACCAAACAGGGAGAGGTGGGGGGAGGTTAGTGGTCCAGATTTACCAAATTCTGCGGCTCTGTCCCACTCAGCCCCCTTCCCTGCAACCTGGTGGCTGCCCAGCAACCTACCCTTCTCTGCCACTTATTGCTACCATGAACACAGGAAATGCGGGTGGGTGCCTTCTGATTTCTGACCGAGAATGTGGAAAGTGACGCTGCAGGGGTCAAAAGTAGAGAACTTCCTAAGCCACGGGAGAAGCTGCATTCCCAAGGCATTTGCTGACTGGATTCCGGAAGCAGCGGGAGCAGTAACGGCAGCAGTGGCTCCCCACAAACATCCAAACAAGTGTTAGTCTGTGCAACGTTACCGCTATTGTCCCATGAATACTTTTCCAAACAAGGCTGGAGGCAGGTGGCTCCCTGCCAAGGGCACTGAGCTGCAGGGAGAGGAAGGGTAGGAAGCTGTGCTTTGTGTACTGCTTGCTTATCAAGCGTCACGATGTTTCCTGTGTTAAGGGAGTCGTGTGGTCCCCGTGGGGCACTAGGAAGCCTCGGATGGGGCCGTGTGATCTTACTTCTTGCCCCTCATTGAGTTCATGCTAGCTCTGTTCATTTCATTATTCATTTCTTGTGTTTTTACTGTGTTCCGGAAGGCGTGCTTAGTCACAGGGCTCATACAGGGGGTAAGGCTGCCTTTGTCCTGACCCTGCTCACAGTCCGCCGTGCGGTTGGGATGGAGGTGGACCAAGCACCCCCTAGACATGCTGAGCAGACACTTGGGCAACTGGAAAAGCAGAGAAACCAAGTTTGGTTAAAAAAAAAAAAAAAAAATGATACGTTTCCTTCCCCAAGCATAAAATCTTTAATTGTAGGAAGCGCACAGGTTATTGTTTAATTTTTAGGACAAATTGTGTAATTTGTAGGTTTTAAGCTGGCCCTGTAGGGGGTGTGAAAAATATGGACGCAATCAACTTCCACTGATCTAATGTGGACAACAGCATGAGGGCGTGCCAAAGGACCAATGTATTGAGAGCCAGCGGGATCCTGGAAGGTCTTAATGGAGGAGGTGCTAATTGAAGTGGACTTTGATGGACAGGTGGGGGGGGGGGGGGGGGGGGGGCTGGAGCACGTGATCTCTAAATTCATCCAAACTCTTTACCGCTGACCCGGCTGCCGCGGTGGCGGGCGGAATGGGGAGGATGCGCCAGGCCAAGGGGACTATTTTGGGAGCGGAGAGGCGTGCTGGGGAGTTGAGTTTCCCTTGATGCACACAGCAGGTCAAGGATCTCAGGACCCGGGCTGGACTAGTTCTGTTGCAGCAGGAAGAGTTCCCTGGACCTCCTTTCCTCTTTTCAGTCTCAGGCACTGTTTCCAACAGGAAAGTCTGGAGAGACCGCTTTCCTTTCCAAAGGGCAGTCTGCCCAGGGGCAAAGGCAGGCTTGCCAGCCTGTACCTGCCGCTGTTCGGGGAGACGAAAACCACTGTAGAGCTTTCTTGTTTGAAGTGCCGCGTGCTCAGCTCGGCTGTCAGTGTTCCTAGACTGCTTCTGTGGACTTAGAGCTGACCTTTAGAGGATGACATTTGAGCACGCAGAGCCGAGCTTCCTGTGCAAAGAACAATGAGTTCGTGACTGTGTCCAGAGCTACAGACATTCCTATTTGTCCGTGAGTTGCATGACTAATGCGCTTGTCCTCGTTAAGAATGAAGTGGGCACATGAGAACGTTTTCAAGGACATCAACCGGTGCTGCTTGGACAGAGGAGAGCCACTAGTGAAAATACCCCAAGGCTTCTTCCTGGTGCAGGGTAGACCCTGGTTGTAAGTACACCCTCGCCCTCAGCACTGCAGCACTTCACGCACAGGGGTGCAGATCCACACCACCCGACCCAGCTCCCCGTGTGGGGCTGTTCTCCTCTCTCCCGGAGAATCCCTGTCTCTCCCTTTGTGCCCTCACATGTTACTGAAGCTTTCACGCGCATTTTATTCACAAGGTGACGAGGGCTTCTTCCCATCCAAATTCATTTCCTCTTTGCTCTCATTCCTTCTGCCCTGTTTCCGCGAAGGGTGAAAGCCAGTATTATCAACAGAAGGAAATTTACAGGAATTTGAAGGGTTCAGTTCTAAGAGCCCGGTGACCTGCTGAGAGATGTTCTGTGCAGAAAAAGAGGGCTGGTATGTGTAAACAGCTCGTAACAAACTCCACAGAGCAGTTTAAAGGTGAAGATGAATAGTGTTACTTCTCAAGGAGTTCAAAGATAGAACAATTGCAAGTTTAAAACATATATTTAAGCCATGTATCCGTCTTGGGAACTTGGAAACATAGTTTTGCAAAATAACTCTGGTGGTCAGTTAGGACAGGAAGAAAAGTGTCAGATGTTAAAAACTGTTAACTGGTCGTGGACCAACATACGTTGTGTCGTGGGGGGAGGGTGTTTTTACATTTGCATTTACACGGTATTGCTGATCTCCATGCCCCCTTTGAATATGCACATTTACTTTGGATTAATATAAGCTTTTCCAGCACATCGTTGTTTGTGAATGCAAAGACTAGGGAAGGTAAGCTGATTTGGTAGTAAGAAGCCAATTGGGGCGCCTGGGTGGCTCAGTCGGTTGGGGGGCCGGCTTCAGCTCAGGTCATGATCTCCTGGTCTGTGAGGTCGAGCCCCGTGTTCGGGCTCTGTCCTGAGCACTCAGAGCCTGGAGCCTGCTTCCGATTCTGTGTCTCCCTCTCTCTCTGCCTCTTCCCTGCTTGCTCTCTCTCTCAAAAATAACAAACAAACAAACAAACAAACAAAAAAAGAAACCAATTGCGTGACCATGACAATTTAGTTGACTTCTCTCAAAACATCTTTCCTTACTTTTAAAATGAGGACTTTGGACTAAGCATCTTTCCATCTTTAACAATCTGAGATTAACAGAGAGAACCCTATATAGAAGAGTAAATACAGTAGACCCTGGAACACATATGTTTGAACTACACAGGTCTACTTACATGCGATTTTTTTTTCAATAAATACAGTAGAGTACTGTAAATGTATTTTCCTTATGATTTTAATGACTTTTTTTTTCTGTAGCTTACTTCATTGTAAGAATTTAGTATTTAATACCTGTAACATACAAAATACAGCAAAACCTTGGTTTGCGAGCATAATTTGTTCTGAAAAACATGCTTGTAATCCAAAGCACTCGTATATCAAAGCGAATTTCAAGAACCATTGGTTCAGTGGTGATCACGTGACATTCGGCATCACGTACTACTTGTATTGCAAGACATCGCTCGTTTATCAAGTTAAAATTTATTTAAAATGCTTGCTCATCTTGTGGAACACTTGTAGAACACGTTACTAGCAATCCAGGGTTTTGCTATGTGTTAATCGGCTGTTTATCAGTAAGGCTTCTGGTCAACAACAGGCTATTAGGGAGTCAGAAGTTATTCACAGATTTTGGACTGCACATGGGGTTGGTGCTCCTAACCCCCACGTTGTTCAAGGGTCAACTGTACTGTCTTAGGACCCGCTATTGGCTTTGATCCTCACAGCTGTGTGAGCTGAATAAGGTAATTTCTTTCCCCTTGACCCCACTTCATCTGTGAAATTACAAGATTGGCCTCTATATTCTTTGTTGCCCCTTCTGCTGTAATGTTTTGTAATTTTCCTCAGTCAAGGTAGAAGTCTCATCTTCCCTTTCTGTGCATTCTACTCCTGCCTTGTGGGGAAAGGAGAGGAAGCTGAGAGAGGCCTGATATTAGTTACCATTAATTTTTCCTTTCATTTCATTAATGTCTCTCTGTTTTGTCCTGTCTGTTTCCCATCCTCCCCCTCTCCCTCCCTCCCCTAATTTCTCTCCTACTGTTCTTCCAGTTAAGTTTCCGCATAACTGAATTTGCAGACCTAGCTTTCCACAGCAAATCCTGCAACCTGGATGTGGGTGGGGAGAAGGGGGTGAAATCCTTAGATCTTTGCTTTGTTTGTTTTTAAAGACAGTTTCCACAGCCCTGTGATTTGTGGGTAATTAGGCGCTCTAGGCTGTCAACACTTTGAGTCCTCTATTGCCTAGCAATAGGTTTGGCTGAGAGTGATACACAAAGCTAAAGTGGTAATGGTTTTCAGAACTAGAAGTTTATTTCTTCCTCAGGCAACAGTCCAGGGTTTGCAGCTCACGGCTGAGGTGGCAGCCACAAACCGTGAAGTCCTTAGGATCCCAGGCTCCTTTGGCCCCCATGACCCACCATCCCCGGAATGTAGCTCTTGACCTTTTGATCCAGGCCCAATAACGTGAATGAAAGGTGAAGAAGGGGCCTGGAAACTGCCACCCTGTGCATATGCTTGCATCCCATTGGGTGGACATCAGCCAAATGGCCACACCTAGCTGCAAGGGAGGCTGGGAATTGAAGCTTCCTTTCCAGACGGCCATGTAACCAAGCAAAAATTGAGGACTCCATCATCTTGGGAGGCAGAAAACGGGTATTAGGTCCTGGCCACTCCCTCTATAGGCAGTGTCATCACCCAGTAACTCTAAGCCATTCATGCATTTACTCATCTGCACACATTTGTGGAGTGCCTGCTCTGTGGTGGGCACTTGATTAGGTGAGGGAACGAGAAAGATAGACAAGGTCCTTTCCCCGAGAAGTCTGCAGTCCAGCGGGCAAAGCAGACATGTGGACAACTGCTCTGAATTGTTATACAAGCACTTATAGACACTTAAACTGTATAAAATGGTACAGAAAATACTAGGCATGGGTGTAGAAAAGACATAGTTAATTCTAGCTTCAAAAACAGATGGAGGAGGGGTAAGGAAATGCTTCAGAAAGAAAGTCTCCATTAACCTGAGTGTTTAAAGTTCAATTCCTTGGAGGAAGGGAACAAGGCAGCATCTCTACCTTTTTTTATTGCATTTTTACTTCCTTTACTGTGACTAATATGTTTTGCTTGTAACCACCTGTATGGAAATAGAACAACTTGGCTCTTGTCCTATTAAAAATGTCACATCCTTGGCTAAGCTCAAGTTACCAACTTGCGTATTCAGACACGTGGCAATTCCTGTGACCTGGCCTCTTAAGAAAACGAGACCAAATAGTTACCAAAGACCATCCACTGCAAAAATACCCAAACCTTAATCCTAGGTAACGGTTATAGAACATGGCACAACGTAAACCTTGGTGGTAGGGGTGGGGGTGGGGGTCTGCAGAAGAGGTAGAACAATTGCTTTCACATGGAGAAATTACTGGGTTCTATACAAATGCAATTGTAAGCAAGACGATGGACTGTGGCTTCACATTTGCTCAATTGTTGAGCCATTTACTGGTCAACTAGTAACAATCAGTTTAAAGAGTTTTTTGTTCCTAGTTATGATAAGGGGAGTAAAGGCTGAAACTGAGATATTATGTGCATAAAGCTTGATGGTTAGGAGAATATGATTTATCATCCACAGTGTAAAATTTTGAAAGATTAAAAATATGTTCATTTCATCATAAATACTTAAGACTGCTTCAATTCTTTCAGTTAGACCCGCCCAGTTGAACTTCCCAAGTTCAACTTACAAATTCTCCTTCCTCATGAATCTTTGTTGACTGACCAAGTCAGCAGAAGATTCTCCATTTTTTCTGAAGTTTCAAAATATGCATTTTTCTATGTAAGAAACTTATCTTAAGCCTCCTTATGTATTATTTCTACTTTACAATTTTAAATTCTTTGGAGAACTTTTTTTCAAGTATAAAATTCAATTTTATAAATATGTATTCATTACCTAATCAAGCAAGAGACACTACATGAACCAAAGGTCTATACATTTTTCCAATGAAGGGCCAGAGAGGAAATATTTGAAAATTTGCCCACCCCATACCACCTGTGTTGCCTATTCATCTTTCTTTATGTTATTTTTCTAACAACCATTAAAAATGTTAAAAACCGGGGCGCCTGGGTGGCTCAGCGGGTTAAGCAACTGACTCTTGGTTTCGGCTCAGGTCATGATCTCACGAACTCATGGTTTGTGGGTTCGAGCCCCACATCAGGCTCAGCGCTGCTTGGGATTCTTTCTTTCTTCTCTCTGCACCTCCCCTGCTCTCTCTCTCTCTCTCTCAAAGTAAATAAATAAACATTTAAAAAATGTAAAAAAAAAAAAAAACCCCATTCTTAGCTGGACCATATAAAAACAGGCTTCATTTGACCTGTGGGCCTTTTTTGCCAACCTCTGAAAAGCCTCGATTTGAAAATCTTACATGTGTATAGGGGTGCCTGGTTGGCTCAGTTGGAGGGTGGGACTCTTGATCGTGGGGTGGTGGGTTTGAGTCCCTTGCTGGGTATAGAGATTACTTAAAAAAATAAAATCTTAAAAAGAAAAAAGAAAGAGAAAATCTTACATACCTACAAATAACTATAATACAAAGCAGGTATGTCAATGCTATTTAAGAGATTTACAAAAATGTGTGGCTACGTAGAATTTGGTCCTTTTCTAGCAATGGCATCATTTACCACACAAGTATGAAGAATCATCCTCAGTGCAACGCTCCTTCTGTTTCTCATCCCTTGTATTTTACCTGTCCTCAAGTTCCGTCCATTTTATCTCCTAAATATCTTCCTAGCTGGTCTACTTCTCTCTACCCCACTGACCACTCCTATAAAATCATAAGCATCCAAGGCTTGGAATACAAAATTCCTAACTAGCGCCTCTAAACCCATCCTCATCTGTTTTGCTGCCCTACTAAGGAGATATTGCATCTACTTCCTATTTCTCTTCCCCTTCCTTCTCTTTTCCCCCTCCTCTCACTTCTTTTCATCTTCCTTTCCCGTGGCTTCTTGAACAACTCAATCCTAAGCCACCTGTCGTGTAGGAGGAGGTGGGCAGCTTCCGTGGCCCAGTATGTGTGTGTCGGAGCCTGTGTGGGGGGCAGACTGTCCATGTGGGGCAAGAGTGCATCCTGATGCAGGGTGTCAAGCTAAGGAAGACACTCCAGGGCAGGGTGGCCTGGAAGGGGGTGCAGGGCTGGAGCAGGAAGGGGCGGCAGCGAATATGGAAGACGAAGTATAAAAGCTGGGGCTGATCAAATAGGTAAATATGTTGTAAGGAGACTGGATACCAATCTGAGAAGGAAATGATGATACAGAGAGAAATCTGAAATCATTCCAGTGATCCATGGTGGTAGATGGGGTTTGGAGGTACCAGTAAATTCCTGGTTTAGTAGGTAAGTAGATAGATAGATATAGGTAGACATGTAAATGTGATTATGTGTCTGGTTTTGTGTCTAGGCGTATGCGTGTGCTCCTTGGCTCTGTCCAGCGACATGGCCTGACAGCTGCAACAATCCCACAGCCACAAGCCCATCTCACGTCCGGATCTTCACTTCTAAGTACTACTTTCATGTAAAAGACACCAGGACTCCGCAAAGTATTGGCCGAATCCCGGGCTAGGTAGAGAAAACACAAGATGGGCCTACGACATCTCGTGGTGCCCCCGAATAAGGCAATATTCAAAGCAAACAATAACAATAACCAAGCCAGCAACAACGAAAACTATGAATAAATGGAAAAAGCTCATGAAGCCAGCTTGAACGGGCACCCGTGCTTTTAGGAAGGCGCCAGGTGCTTCTGACGCAATTGTGGTCTGTGGACTTCACTTGAAAAACCGCAAGTCCAGCCTCTGAGTACCTCTTTTATCTCCTGTCCCATTTTTCTTCGTTTCCTTCCTTTGTGCTGCCTGGGCTACCGTGGTTCTATGTTGGCTGACCTGCTTTCAGATGATTAGGAAAGTCAACAGTGACCTGTTTGCAGAGTATTTTTAATAGAGTGGAATTCTGTGAAAAACAGAGTGCAGTGGACTGAAGAACGGACAGGGTCAGAAGCAGTTGGAAAGTTTGTTCTCGAAACGATAGGAGGGGAAGAAAATACGTGCAAACACACTGGGAAGGTTTGAGGTGGAACGGTGAGACCTTCCGGGACTAGGAGCTGGAAGGGCCCACATGATCCAGAATGGAGACGGTGGTGGGAATCCCGCCATAAGAGACAACTTGGATGGATCTTGAAGGCGTTATGCTAAGAGGAAAAAGTCCAACAAAGACAAGTACTGTATGAGCTCATTTACATGTAGAATCTTAAAAAAAAAGAACCCCAACTCATAGAAACAGATTGGTGGTTGCCTGGGTGAAGGTCGGTGGGGAAGGAGAATGGGCAAAATGGACAAAATCGGTCAAAAGGTACAAATTTCAATAGTAATGTGGAGCACCTGGGTGGCCCAGTCGGTTAAGCATCTAACTCTTGATTTCAGCTCAGGTCAGGATCTTACAGTTTGTGAGTTCGAGCCCTGTGTCAAGCTCTGGGCTGTAGCACAGAGCCTTCTTGGGCTTCTCTCTCCCTCTTTCTCTGCCTCTCTGTCTCTGCCTCTCTCAAAGTAAGTAAATAAACACTAAAAAAAAAAAAAAATAAAAGCCAGAAAAAATAGATGAAGGGGGGGGTCAACAATAAAAAGAGACCTAGGAAATACATCAGTTCGTCACAAAGTTTGGGACTTATTTTGATCACAATTCAAACAAATAAATGGGTAACGTTTTAAGAGAATCAGAGAAATGTGAACATTTCTGCTTAATGAAGCTAAGCAATGATTAATGTTTTAGGTGAGATAGCAAAGATCAAATAGACTCTATTCTGTTTCATTGACCTGGATGCCTACATTTATTGTCAGTATTATGCTGTATCAGTTACTGTAGCTTCATTTGATTTAACAGCAAACACAAAAAATTTAAGTCCCTCAAGTTTTAAATAAGATACGAAACACAGAAACTACAAAAGAAAAAAAAAGAGCTAAACTGGATTTCAGCAAAATAAAAACTTCTGTCCTTTGAACACCACGTTAAGAAGCTGAAAAGATAAGTCACCGATGGGGAGAGAATATTTGCAAAACACAGGTCTTAAACATGAAAAAGGCTGCTGTCCAGAAGATAGGAATAAGGCCTACCACTTAATAATAAGACAAACAATCCAGTTTAAACATGGGGAAAAGGTTTGAACAGACCCTGAGATAAAGGTGATGACTAAGTCCATGAAAAGACACTCCACATTTTTAGTCACTGAGGAAATGGAAGTTTGAGCCACAATGAGATACCATGACATACTGAGCAGTGTGACAAGGATTAAGAAGAGACACAATAGCAGGGCGCCTGGGTGGCTCAGTCGGTTGAGCGTCCGACTTCAGCTCAGGTCACGATCTCACAGTTTGTGAGTTCGAGCCCCGCGTCGGGGTCTGTGCCGACAGCTCAGAGCCTGGAGCCTGCTTCCGATTCTGTGCCTCCCTCTCTCTCTGCCCCTTCCCTGCTCATGCTCTGTCTCTCCCTGTCTCAAAAATAAATAAAAACATTAAAGAATTCTTTTAAAAAAGAAGAGAGATAATAGTCAGCACTGTTGGGGAGGAGGAAGGACTGGAGCCCTTATGAACTTCCGGTGCGAATACAAAATGGTAGAGCCGCTTGGGAAAAATGGTTTGGTGGTTATTTATAAAATTAAACGTAAAACTTCCGTATGACCCATCAACCCCATTCTCAAAGGAAATGAAACTGTTTACGACATCATTCGTTCATAAGAGCCACAAACCAGGAACAATCTCAATGTCCATCAGCTGGTCAGAGTATAGACAAACTGTGGTCCATCCATTCGCTGGCACACTTTACTAATAAAAAGGAGCAAACTACACATCCCTGCAACAACAGGGATAAACCGTAAGACCATTTTGTTAAGTCAGAGCGGTCGGACCCCAAAGAGTAAGTACTATATGATCCCATTCATGTGACATTCTGGAAAAGGCAAAACTCTTAACACCAGAAATCAGATAATGGGAGCGAGGAGTTGGGAGTAGGGGGTAGGGATTAATTTTTAAGACAAGGGAACCCTTTGGGGTGATAAAAATTGTATCTTAATTGTGATGGCGTTTGAACAACCCGTATTCAAGTGTCAGAAACTCATCAGGCTATCCTCTTTAAAAAGGTAAATGTTATTGTATGTAAATTATAACTCAAGACACTCACTTTAAAAGACAATGAACAAAATGGAACCGAGCACAGCTGTTCTATACCCTCCAGTAGCCTTACTAGGACAATTTCTGTGCTAATTGTTTTTCATATGGCTTCAAATTATTCACGTCTGACTTTTGTGTTTCATTGAGGCCACAGCTATAGATTTACTTGGTGAGGAAAGAGAAGCGGGAAGGAAAAATGAGAAACATTCTCAGGCTGGATACTTGGGATTAAAACCTGAAAACAGTTTTCGCAGAAAAGGAGTCTGACCTGTTGAACAACCTACATGCTGGTGAAATTTATGAGGGTCCCACCCACTGTTGACTAAATAAATGAAGTAGAAATGTTCCAGCTGGCTGTGATGGCCACTGTATATGCTGTTTCACATTCTACAGAAAGTACTAGACACAAGTAGCTGTAATAAATTGTAAATCGTAAAGCAGTGACTTCTTAACAGGAGACGCTTTATCTGTAACCTTCAGCTCTCCTTCAGGGCTCCGTCTTCTTTTCATTTCGGATAGGAAAATGCACAACCTGAGACCTTGGGGGTGTCATGGCATGTTTCCTCCAACAGAGCGGGCCCCCCAAGAAAAGAATGTTCAACACAAAGGAATTTCCAGTTCCTGATCGCTTGTCACTTCAGTGAGGGAGGAATGGCCTGACCAGGATCCCCACTGATGCCTTGAATCAGGTTATCCAGGCCTCGTCTACAGGAAATTTTGTGTTTCCATCCAGTGAGTGCTTGTTAAATGTCGGAGCTTACAAAAGATGGGTGAAGAAACACGGATGGCCCGGAATATGCCTCATCTACTAGCTCTGATCATGGGCACTGTGATTTGATAGCTTTTGTTGTAGCCCTGGGGTTGGTTAATGGGTTTGGTTAATTTGGGGTCTGTGCTCCTATGTTAATTTAGGCCTCTACCCTGTCTCTGACTTCATACTCTCCTCTGGTGATGGGATTCTCTTCCACAGCTTCATCTACCACCAAAATGCTGACAATTATGAAACTCCGTCCTGAGTCAAGAACCATGCATCTGACCGAGGCCTGGCACCTCCAGGGGAAAGTCCCACAGACCTGAGCGTACCATGTGTGATTGCTGGTATATTCCTTATCTGAGTGATGGCTCAGAGATCAACCCCGTTACGAGCGTCAGAAAATTGTGATGCATTTATCTCTCCTCCCTTTCTGTAGCCCTTATATTTAATCAGACTCTGAAACCTGGAGAGTCTAACTCCCTTCGTATTTTTAAAACATTTCGTTCCATCCTCAGTATACGGCCTTCTTCCTGGCTGCTATTATCTCTTACTCAGATGACTGACCCACTCTTCTACCTAATCTACCTGCCTGTACTGGACATTTGCCTTTTTTTCTTTTTTCTTTTTTTCTTTTTTTGTCGTTCCAGAATCTAGCTCCTCGATTCCTATTTTGGGGATCTTCTGGTCTCCCAATATGCATTCCCCTCCTCCATAGGAACAGAATCTTAACTATCTGGCCACACAGAATCCTGACTTACACGTGTCAGTTTTTTTTCAGTGCCGTGTGGCTGCGTCACTGTGTTCCGGAAGATGGCTTGTAAGGAAAAGTGAGATACGCAATTTCTAAGTTGGGCCCTGAAAAGAAAGTAGCATGACATCTCACTTCATTTTCCTTCTTCCTGCGGCTGGAACGGAAAAGTGATGGTGGGAACTTGGGCAGCTCTTTTGGACCACAAACAGAAAGCAGGTGGGCGGGGGCACCTGGGGGCTCAATGGGTTAGGCCTCGACTTCAGCCTCAGGTCACGGTTGGTGAGTTCGAGCCCCACGTCGGGCTCTGGTGCTGACAGCTCAGAGCCTGGAGCCGGCTTCGGATTCTGTGTCTTCCTCTCTCTCTCTGCCCCTCCCCTGCTCGTGCTCTGTCTCTCTCTCTCACTCTTAAAAATAATAAATAAACATTTAAAAAAATTAAAAAAAGAAAGAAAGAAACTAAGAAAGAAAGAAAGAAAGAAAGAAAGAAAGAAAGAAAGAAAGAAACTGGGAAGTCGGATCTTGGAGTCAAAATACGGAGGGAGGTTGGGTCCAAAGTGGCTTCCTGGAGGAATGCCGTCAAACTAGTTTGGGGCTTAACACAAGGGAACAATAACATCAGTCTTTTTTGAGTTGTGTGAACTCTGATCTTTGTTACTGCAGCCAAATATGCACCCTAACTTCATAGCGTTTATGAAGTCAGGGACCAGTTAGCTCCCCGTAACTACCTACTATTCCCGGCGCCGGCAGATGGCGGAGGGCTGACAGATCCCGCGCTCGCACTGGGTGGTCAGGCTCAGTTCAGCACAGCAGTGGCAACGGCGTCCTCCCACAGCACAGTCCCCTTGGTCAAACTGTTCCGCCTCTGAGACCTTTGCTGTGCCTCTGCCCCCGCCCCTCTGCAAGCCTGTTCTTCCAGCCTCTTGATAATTTTGGTGTGCTCCTGATATCCTTCTGATAGATTCCCTCTTTTTATTGCCACTCACAGGTGGCACGGGTTTATGCGATTTGCAACCGCGGAATTCCAAATTGAGGCGCTGATTTCCAATTTCACCTTCTTCCAAAGACAGGGCCGCGCTGCCTGTGTGGTACTTGTAAGCAGAGGTCTCATTCTGCATTTCCCCAGCTTGATATCCATTAGGGATTGTTTGGCTATCCTTTGGGCAGAGCTCGTTCGGTCAGGGTAACCTCCTCAGTGTGGCATGTGAGGCTTTGCAGGATGTGGCCCCAACACCACTCCCCAGTTTTCTCTCTTTGTGCCTGTCTCTAGGCCCCATACGTCATGATTTGGCCATACTAAATCACTGGGCAGGCACAAGGTCCATCTCCCAGCCCTTCCTTCTCCCACGTGCTTGGCAATTCTCGTTCAAGAGACATGTTGGGGTTCTTCCCCTCCACAAAGCTTTCCCAACTCCCTGGGGCCCAGTCACCCCTGGTCACTTGATTGCAAGTCTGTCCTTTGGGCTGCACACTTTACCCCTCTTACCTATGCCTCTATCCCTCACCTAGTCTCTCCTCTGTGCTCACTTGTCTCCATGACTTGCCTTCCCATCT